TCACGAAGAGGACAATGCTCCACACACTCAGGGAGTCGCTCTTATGCTGTCCAAAGTAGCACGAAATGCACTTGTAGGATGGGAGTCTCACGGATCCAGAATCATCAAAGCATCATTCAAAACAAAGAAGGAGGGGATCTTAATGAATATTATCCAATGTTATGCACCCACCAATGATAGCAACGACGACATTAAAGATCAGTTCTACGAGCGGCTGCAGTCAATCATTGAGAAATGCCGAAGAAAGGACCTAACTATTCTGATGGGAGATCTAAATGCCAAAGTCGGAATAGACAACACTGGATATGAAGATATTATGGGACGACATGGACTGGGAGAAAGAAACGAAAATGGAGAAAGATTTGCAAATTTGTGTGCATTCAACAAATTAGTCATAGGAGGCACAATATTTCCACACAAGCGTATACACAAGGCTACATGGATCTCACCGGACCACACTACAGAGAACCAAATAGATCATATTTGCATCAACAAAAAATTCCGAAGGACAATGGAAGATGTGAGAACCAGGAGAGGTGCTGACGTAGCTTCAGATCACCACCTAGTTGTAGCCAATTTAAAACTGAAGCTGAAAAAGAACTGGACAAGTGGACAAACAGCACTACAAAGGTTCAATACAGCCTTCCTTCGAGATACTGACAAACTCAATGAATTCAAGATAGCTCTCAACAACAGGTTCCAAGCCTTACAAGATCTACTGAAAGAAGAAGAAACTACTATGGAGGACAACTGGAAAGGCATCAAGGAAGCATTAACTTCAACGTGTCAAGAGGTTCTGGGCCTAAAGAAACACCATCATAAGGAATGGATCTCTATAGAAACACTGGACAAGATCAAAGAAAGGAAGAACAAGAAGGCAGCAATTAACAACAGCCGAACACGAGCAGAGAAAGTCCAAGCACAAGCTGAATACATAGAAGCAAACAAACAAGTGAAGAGGAGCATTAGAGCCGACAAGAAGAAATACGTGGAAGAACTAGCAACGACGGCAGAAAAAGCTGCTAGAGAAGGAAATATGAAACAGCTTCACGATACAACGAAGAAACTAGCAGGGAAATACAGTAAACCAGAGAGGCCGGTCAAAGACAAAGAAGGCAAGCCAATCACCGAAATTCAACAACAGCGTAACAGATGGGTGGAATACTTCGAGGAACTCCTGAATAGGCCGGCTCCAATGAATCCACCGGACATCGAAGCAGCACACATAGATCTTCCTATAGATGTCAACCCACCAACGACGGAAGAAATTAGAATGGCCGTCAGACAAATCAAGAACGGGAAAGCAGCAGGACCCGACAACATACCAGCTGAAGCACTGAAATCAGACATCGAAGCAACCACAAGCATGCTTACCTTCTATTCAAAAAGATTTGGGAGGAGGAACAAGTGCCGATGGACTGGAAAGAAGGACACCTCGTCAAGATTCCAAAGAAAGGAGATCTGAGCAAATGTGAAAACTACAGAGGCATTACACTACTGTCAATACCAGGGAAAGTCTTCAACAGAGTGTTGCTGAACCGGATGAAGGATGCAGTAGACGCCCAACTTCGAGATCAACAAGCTGGATTCCGTAAGGATCGGTCGTGCACAGACCAAATTGCAACACTACGGATCATCGTCGAACAATCAGTTGAGTGGAACTCATCACTATACATCAACTTCATTGATTATGAAAAGGCATTCGACAGTGTAGATAGGAGGACATTATGGAAACTTCTTCGACACTACGGAGTTCCTGAGAAGATTGTCAACATTATCCGGAACTCATACGACGGACTACAGTGCAAAGTAGTGCATGGAGGACAGCTGACAGATGCATTCCAAGTAAGGACTGGAGTCAGACAAGGCTGTTTACTCTCTCCCTTCCTCTTTCTTCTGGTGGTCGACTGGATTATGAAGACCTCGACATCTGAAGGAAAACACGGAATACAATGGACAACTCAGAATCAATTAGACGATTTGGACTTCGCAGACGACCTAGCCCTCCTATCACGTACACACGAACAGATGCAGATGAAGACAGCCAGTGTAGCAGCAGTCTCTGCATCAGTAGGCCTCAGCATACACAAAGGGAAAACCAAGGTCCTCAAATTCAAAACGGAGAACAGCAATCCAATCACTCTTGATGGCGAAACTCTGGAAGATGTAGAGTCCTTCACATACCTGGGAAGCATCATCGATGAACAAGGAGGTTCAGATGCAGACGTAAAGGCGAGGATCGGCAAAGCAAGGGTCGCATTCCTACAATTGAAGAACATATGGAACTCAAAACAACTTTCAACCAATATCAAAGTGAGAATCTTCAATACGAACGTCAAGGCAGTTCTACTGTATGGAGCTGAAACTTGGAGAACTACAACAACCACAATCAAGAAAGTACAAGTATTTATAAATAGCTGCCTACGCAAGATACTCAACATCCACTGGCCGGATACCATCAGCAATAGCCTTCTGTGGGAGAGAACAAACCAACTTCCAGCTGAAGAAGAAATTAGGAAAAGACGATGGAAATGGATAGGACATACATTACGCAAATCGTCAAACTGCATCACGAGGCAAGCCCTAACTTGGAACCCTGAAGGGAAGCGAAAAAGAGGAAGGCCAAAGAACACATTGCGTCGGATTATAGAAGCAGATATGAAAAGGATGAATTACAACTGGACGGAGCTAGAAAGGATTGCCCAGGACAGGGTTGGATGGAGAATGCTGGTGAGTGGCCTATGCTCCTTCACGAGGAGTAACAGGCGTAAGTAAGTAAGGCGAGATATCTGTCTACCAATCAAAGGACAGGTTTACTGCGCAGCAGTTCGTTCCATCCTACTTTATGGCAGTGAAACATGGCTGCTAAGAGTAGAGGATATTCGTAGGTTACTAGTATTTGATCATAAATGTCTTCGAAATATTGCTCGTGTATCCTGGGACCACCGAGTAAGTAATACAGTTGTTAGGAAACGGTTACTATGTAAGGATGGCAAATCAATTGATGAGGTGGTGAGACTTCATCAGTTGAGATGGCTGGGACACGTGTACGTATGCCCAACGACCGACTGCCTCGACGTGCGATGTTTTATGGTGTAGGCGTAGGTTGGGAGAAAGCTAAGGGCGGCCAGACCAAAACGCGGCACAAATTCGTGGAGTCACTGACAAGTGGACTGAGACATGTTGGTAGGTGTATACCACGTGGTTGGGATCCGCGAGACGATGGCAACCGATGGTTAGAGACCTTGAATGACATGGCTTAAAATCGTTTGCAATGGCGCAGGTGCATCTACTCTTTGTGTTCTCCCAAATTCTAATCTTCTGAATTGTCCTTGTCTCTTATTTTTCCTCTTTCCAAATTTATTTCACTGGATTGTACTCCTTGAGTAACATCTTCAAAGCCAAATGTTTTCGGTTACTGCTTATACTCTTACTAGCTCTGCCACTACAGGATTTGAATCGATAACTGCATCTCTGTGCTAATGTGGTATGGCAACTCGAACTGATGTCAGTCAGTCAGCTACAACGTACGTACGTACGAAGTTCTACCTTGTTACTGACTGACTGAATACGTAATCCTGTTTTAGGTGTCTATTCGTAAAATCCTTCCCATTATCAACAGAAACTGGCACTTTATCCAATACATTAATACCAGACGAATCGATTACATTTACGTAACTCTCTTGGTCTACTTTGAGAGTGAGACATGCGTAAACAGTTACTGCAATAATATTTTGAAAATTGATATTTCGACCATTTACACGGAAACATAAGATTAGGTGAAAAACAGACTCATAAGTGTCACATCATCGGCTTGAAACATGTTAAAATATTACTCATCCTAGAACAAGTAGGAAGGTATGATTTATTCGCCAGTAAAAACTACTCTCCTACAATATGAGACGTTAATTGCCTACAATTAACATGATATTTTACCATACCATGGTCACTACCTATTAAGCCTTAAGTGAGAAGAGACTGAGTAACGAATCTAAATTCTTGATTGCTTAAACTGAGTTATAGCACGTGAATGATTGAAGTGTAAATATGACTCCAGAACGTATCAACTAATTTTTTTCGACTGTCGAAAACTAAAGGGAAACGATGGATTTGTTGTGGTCCAGGTAATTACTTAGCATTATTAAAACCACACAACCGAGTTTCATCATAAACAGAACTCTTTGGTCATCTATATTCTGGTACTAGATAGAAAAACATACTTTTTCGCATGTATTGTTTGACAGTACGAAAATCAAAAACAATTTAAACGATGTTCGGACCTAAGATTTATTTTATGAAAGTCGATTGTTGATAAGATTTTTAAAAACTAGGCCTAACAGTCAAGTGTTAGTTGAACGATCAATCATCAACAAGCCTGTGACACCTGATTATGTTTATTGTGTTTCTATTCCGTTTATAAGCATGCTATTTTACTACATAAAAATTATTCTGCTGACTTTCATCAATGAAACTTCTATACAACTACTAGACCTCTTACTCTAGTTTGCGGGATAAGGAAGAAGGGGATACAAGTAGTCTCGCTTACGATATTGAAGTTGGAGTTGCAAAGAGTAACTTGGCGTGCGAGAACATCGAATTTTTAGTTAGCCAGCTACTCAAATACTTCCAAAATCAAACTAATTATTAAATACCTTAGATTTATTCCCCCTAAAGTGGATTAAACGTATTTAAAGATAAACATTAGTAACTTCAGTTTATTGAGAAATTTCATTTTAAATAAAATCAAAATATAAGGATCATAAAACTATTCAACAGATAAGAAAAGAATCTGAAACAATTCGGAAAGACTTGTTACTTATAATTATTAAAAATATTTTCAAGACATAATGTTTGGTGGAATAGGGGAATTATCGAAAAAGAAGCTAGCTGACACAATTTGTTCATCAGGATTATTAGAAATGTGAGGTTTTGGATTTCTTATTGTTCCCCATACCCAAATCCAATATAACGCTCCGATAATAAAAAATACAGCACCAAATTCAATTTTTATGGCTATTAACCATAACAACAGAGTAATAATGAATTGTACATACCATAAATTCCAAATGGCGGTAATTCTAGCTAATTTCTACACAAAAATACGTATAATCAAGAAAATTATTAAATTTAAGTAGTTGAATGTAATATTAAAGTACTTATGGATTCTACTAAAATATATTGAATATATATAAAAGTAAGTAGTCGAAATTTGTGAGGGAAAAAATGAGTTTACCAATCTGTTGTTAAATTTTTCGAAAATAGAAATGTACGGATGAATAATTCATTTGATCTTTATTTTGATAGAGGTGACTAATTGTAACTGGGAAATAAAACCTAGCATAATACACTGTGGCAGAATGAGTGAATGGTGATGGTAAAATTTATGGTAATCTATTACGTCAATATTTCATCAGCAACACACATTTGTCAGAAGTTTTAAATTTTGTATGGATTCTATCACTAACCACCAACTAGATATCTAGTATTACAGTTGCTTATAATCCGTTCATTCAACAGAAAAGTAAGCACGCCTTGTTAGTTATAAATTAAATATTTAAACGCTGATATTAATTGGTACTAACACTTCACTGAGTCATATAAATATGTAAATAGGATTAATAAACATAAACAACTAAAAGTGGTATTCTAGTACAATATAATTAGAATGTAAGTGAATCAGTCATTTTTTGCCTCAAAGATTACTTGGATACATCTTTTTATACTGTTATGATTCAGAACATAAATTAAAAATAAATATATTACTGTAGATGATTCTTTTACCACAGAACTGTTGGCGGGTTCTTGAAGTACATTTATGGTTGGAGGTTTTAACTCTGGAGTTACTGGATTTGCTAGACGATAAGCATCCAATTGAGCTTTAATTTCGAAGTAAGAACGTTGTTTAAACTCGGGTACCATGTAATTAGTCTGAAAACATTTTATTAACAGATGCACGTTACTAGGTGGGCTAGGATATATATATATATATATATATATATATATAAAATATATGCCATGGCACAATACAGTACATTGGTCACTGTTATGAAACAAGCCTGAAACCAGTGATGATTTACATGTGATCATAAATGAAGTTTAGAATCCCAGAAAACGCTTGTACGAACACTATTAAACCAAAAACGCCTTGAGTAGTGTTGTTTTAAGGATCGTAAGAACCATATGGAATCAAAGTACCGGTCATTGATTTTCATTTACAGACCTTCAAACCACCTCACTAACTGACTATCAAATGTAGCATACATTCTTTTTAGCGCTAAAAGTGAGTCTTTAAAATCGTACGTATGCAAATGAGACAATTGATCCTCGAAATTTTCTAGTTAATTACAGACAGCAAAGACGAACTTAGGCTATAATTATGAAAGCTTTACCATGGAAGATATAACCATATATACACATTTCGTCAAGATTCAAAAAGAACGTGAAGACGAAAAATTTATTTTTCTATATTCCATGACGAACGGCTAGTTTTTAAACATTAACCAAGTTTAAACCATCTCAGTTTGGGGATAGTCCAGGGCTTCTGCGTAGTTCATCAACAAAAACATTCAACATTCCTTTCATTGGGAAATATGGGAGAAAGCTAACTAGTAAATTTAGTTGTAACCATATTCAACTTATCCATGAGAACAAAGTTAATATATATCATGTTTAGCTCTTTGTAACTTCATTATTACAACCGAAACAGACTATAGGTCACCAGAAAATAATGTAATCAGCATCTAGTAGGAAACTCCTGTATAATTACTAACCAGGTTGTTGTGGTAATTTTCACTCAATGTGATTCTCCCTAAATTCAGATAAAATATACTTCGCAATCGCTTTCCAATTTAATCTAGCTGATTGTAAAGCTCATTAGGTTTTCTTAAACCTTGAGTCGTAAGAAAGTAAACCCTGATATTACTAGGCTTCAATTAAGCGGTTAAAGGGACTGTCCGCACATAACAACTACACAACATGAGTACAGCCATGGATCTCCAATTTGATTATGAGTGTCTAAAATGATAGAGGAAGACTAAGCGAAAGTCATGGGCGATTACTTTGGACGGTCTTTATTTATGAGCCTGAACTTGACGAAAGACTAGGGCCAGAATCAATATTACTAAGTCGATTACTCGCTGTAGACTTTAATCACTAGGATGTCCCAAGGATACTAGACTCTCTAAGTACGGAGAAATTAACAGGAGTGGATGAGATACGCCCTAAAATTATGAGATTCATTGCGACATATATTGCTACACTGTTCACTAGGATATTTAGTGTCATTCATCCACAGTTACATGTGGAACGAAAAGGTACAACTAACACTCCATTTCACAAGGCATAATAAAGACTATTCCTCTTGAAGTGCAGACTCATCAGCCTCACCAGTGTCGTGGTTAAATTTTATCATAAGGAATGAACGAAAAGATAATTACTTAGGTGAAAACCAACACACTTGTTATACAATGAATGAAATGGTCTCAACAAAGGAACACCACATACGACTAAACTAATAGTAAGACAGAGATGGACGGAGTTATCTGATGATAGAAAATAAATAAGTCATGTTTACGTTAACTTCAGTACATCATTTAATAAGGGACCACATAATAGACTTCTACTAAAACTTGGGAAACTCAAGAATTAGTGCAGCTCTGATAAATCGGATTAAGGTCTTCCTAGTGGTTCGTCGACTACAAGAATAAGACGCAAATGTTCTTTATAGAAACCAATACTTAGTGGAGTGGCTCAAGGCTCCCTACTAGGTATTTAACTTTTTATACTCCATGCGAATGGACCCCCAAGTATAATTAGGTTTCTAAGGCTACTTTGAGCTGATGGCATCGAAATCTATAAAGAACTAAGGAAGGGTGGAAGTGCATGTGGACTCCAGGCCGAACGAAATGCTCTAGTTAGCTGATCAAAATTATGGCCAGTGCGTACCAATGTGTTAACACGTATATTAGACATATACAGACAAATAACGACAACATCGAATACGTCTGCACTATAAGTCTAGTTTCGCAATGTTCTAGGGATAATAGTGGGCCACGACTTTAAATCACGGCTCGCTGCCGAGGTTACAGTCAAACAGTTTAGAACCTATGGGCGTCAATATGGATATTTACTGAGCTGGACACAAAGGGGTTCATCACGATATACACAACTTTACTGAAATCCGAACCTGAGGACCGGGTTTAGGCTGCGAGCTTACTTAAAAGATGATTCGGGTATCTTAGAAACAGGGCAAAGCAGTCATAAATTTAGGAAACTTCGATTTTCCATGCACAATCAAGCCAGATAGATTGGACCTCATTACTCCGTCTTATCACAGATTAAGTGGTGGTCCGAATTTGACGTATAGAATACAGATAAATGATTTCGGATGTGATGATTCCCCTATTTTAGTTTCTACTAGATAAAGACAGCTCGACTGTGGTTGTGGACGGAATAGATGCTTTCGCCTAATGGACTACCGTACCTAGTAGCAGTGGATCACTAACGCCACTAAGTAAGGACCTAGGTTTATTGACGACAAAAGAGGGAACAGAGAAAAAGAAAATCATAACGATACAGTCCTTAATCTTTAGGAATACATCGTTTCCTCTTAAGGGACTCCTGGGAAGTCACTTGGACTAGCACAGCTGGCAATGAATTCCAGTATTTGATTACTCTTAAGGAGTAGGTATGTCTACAGTCCGTTCTGCTGTGTTGAGTTTCCAGTTCCTGGGTGTTACCCCTACAGTTTGCGTTGGGACGAAGTTTAAGTGGATGTCCCGAAATCTTTAGTATACTATCAATCATAAGGTCACATCTAAGATGCCTGTACTCTAATGGGTAACGGTTCAGCGATTGATGGCGCTCTTCATAAGACTTATGAAGTCTTGAACTTCAGTCCCCGAACTTATTTTGTGGCTTGCAGCTGAATATGCTCCAGAGTGTCCTCATTCTTTTGGAGTGAGGGAGGAAATACTATATTTCTGTACTCGATGAAGCTATAATTTATGGACGAACCAATCAGATATAAGATAACAGGTGTTGGATTTCGGTGAGAAATTATTTCAATCATCTCACTAAACAGCGTCTTGGCGTTTTAACTGTCACTTCATGATGAAAGCTAAATCTAGATCTTAACCAAGCAACTAATGAAGGGGATATAAAGACGAAAAAAGGGAAGATAAAGTGGACGAAAGCTTAAATAAAGAGAAAATGTCGCTTTTCTGCCTTCACGTCGGTTATTTAAGGTAAATGTCGACTTTTCTTCCTTACGTCGTGTATTTGGGGGATATTTGTCAACAACTATACGTAACGTACCGTGTTTGAATATGCCGCATCCCGTACTTATGTTTTCATAAACGTTAAATTGTTGTGGACGGAATAGAAGAAGCTTTCGCTTAACAGGCTTCCGTGTCTAGTAGCAGCGGACCACCAAATCCTCCAGGCAGGAACCTAGGTATGTTGGAGCGAGGGGGAAGTACTATGTTTCCGTACTCTAAGTGGGGACGGATGAAACTATTAAAGATTATATGGAAAGTTCTTCCGTCAAACCGGCCAAAAATGCGCTTCAACGTTACCAGTGAAAGGTTTGCTCGGAAAGGCATTTTCGTCACAGTTAGCGTAAGACTTTAAATCATGGGGCACTAGGACTCATCAATCTTTTTCTACTTGAGATACTACCAGAGAGAGTTTCCCAAGTTATAACTGTAGTCTGCGACATGTCGCAGATGGACCACTTTACACTTTGAAGTGTTAAAAGCAAGTCCATTATTATCTGCCAACTTTGGGTCGAGTGGATCCTCCTGAAATGCCTGTATATCGTCTTGATTGCGTATCTCTCTCCAAAGTTTAACATCATCGACAAAGAGTAACAATTCTGACGTTACCTGTTGAGGAAGATCATTTATGTAGATCAAGAAGAGAAGAGGTTCAGGTACTGAGCCCTGGGGAACCCCACTAGGACATTCCATATTCTGAGATAAAGTGAAATTAACCACAACCTTAAAGTGTCGATTTTTCAGGTATGAAGTAAGCCAATCGATTAGAGGTTGTCTGATACCTAGTCGTTTGAGCATATGTTCCTTATATGTTTATATTGCCTGTACGCTCCGTCGTTGTCAGTTCGTTTGTATTCCGCCCAACAGTGCCTTTTGGGGCTTAGCAGGAGAAGGGTACGGTTCTTTATTATTATAGGTGGCTTGCAGCTTTTGGGAACCGTTTGAGGAACTGAATGGTTTGTAGCACATAAGAGCATGTGCAGTAAGAAGTCCCAACGACCGTCCAATCGAGTTGAGTGTGAACACCCCAATCCACCTGTTGTAGATAGTCGTGTAGAGCTGGCGCATTCAAACGTTTAAATTTCCAACTCAAGTTATTGTTGGGATAGCTTAGCTTAGTTTTGCTGACAAAACTGAAGGCTGTGACGGCATGATCACTTTTTCCCAGAGGAGCCAGGATTGAGAGGTTGTCAACTAGGAATTCTTCGTTTGTGAATACACAATCTAAGTGCTATGGTGTTTGACTGTTTCTCCAACGAGTTGCCGACCTCACATTTTCGAACAATCCCAAGTCATCGATGAGGCTGAAGAACCGAGCTTCAATTGAGTTATCGCCTCCAGTATACGTGTGATATGCGAAGTTGACTCTAGGGAGATTAAAGTCCCCTAGAATCAGGATGCGTGTGAAACCGAGACGAGTAGAGCGGGATAGCCCTTCCCGCATATGACTATCGCACTCAATGTTGGCAGTTGGTTTCCTGGAAATGACTCCGACTAGACACCACGAAGTACTAGACAATCTTACAGAGCACCATATGGATTCCTCAAGGTTGTTAAACTCGAGGTTATGAACTTGATGCACCTCCAAGCAAGAACGTATGTATAGGGCTAGTCCGCCCCCAATTCCTGATTTTCCGTCGTTGCGGAACAACGACATCCCAGGTAATGGTAACTCTTAGTCCGGGAACTGAGAAGATATCCAGGGTCCCAGATATTCCTATCAGATGGGCCTTATTAGCATTGCTAAGTTCACGTAGTTCATCCAATTTGTTTGATAGGCTCCCGGCGTTCATATATAAGCAGTTTATGCTTTAAATTTGAAACGCGTGAGCTTCTTCCTGTTTGTCTGTATGAGCCTTACGTGAGTGGACAGGTAGCCCACCTATATGAGATTTGCCGAGGCGGTGGGCTTTGTCCTTTACACGTTTTTTATCATCTAGACAGTCCGAAATGGGAATGGTCAGCTCCATCTTGCCTTTGTGTTTGATCCTAGCTTCGTATGGCCTATCCGGGTGCATGTGGATTCTAGGTGGCAAATGACGTCTGTTTGCACGGAATGCTTCCAGAGTTGCAGCCGCCATGTTGGAGGATGGGACGGTTATCTTCATTAGACGGGGTCTAGGGTCACCATCCTTCTTGGCTAGTCTCGTCACATGCTGAGTCAGTATGTGTTTGAGCCTCAAGGATTGTTTAATGAATTTCCATTCCCTGATGTCAGAGTTTGATTGAGTAGGGTCCGTATTTTCCGGCATACCTTGCACAATTGTGTTTCTTCCGCGGAAAAACGTCTTGCGAGTTTCTTTAAGGGTGTTCCGTATGAAACTGTGCTCAGAGTACGGTATGTCGGGCAATATTCGTACGTCCCCATCGGATTTCAGCAAGTGACTGGCTAGCAAGACGTCCTCTACGTCGGTAGGATTCTTATGTGTTACTCGAAGAAGCCTCGGGTGATTTAGATGCTTAGAATCCTTTCCTCGAGTGAGCCGGGTGACCGTCAAAGGCTCTATTCTAGGAAGTTCGAGCTTCTTGTTCAGTTCACTCCAGAGCATCCTATCATTTTTGTCCTACAGACTGAGAGGACGGTCAGGATTGTCAATGAGATTCATGATTATGAGAGAATCGTCACGAACCGTTGTTGATTTACCAGGTTTCCCGATGGGTTCAGGTATAATACCTTGTTGTTTGGAGGTCAAGGCACGATTTTGAATCTTGGGCTCTTTAATGACCGGACGAACATTCTTGGGGGTTGACTGTGAGACCAAATCACCAGTTGTTTACCGTGCGACAACACTTGTGATACTCAGCGTAGACGGTGATACCTGGTTCTTTTGGGCTCTACTAACGTGGGCCGAATCACCTACACGGTTTTTGGGAACCACTGTTGTGTTCGGGGACCCTGAACTGGGAGACCCGAGTTTACTTAGGGAGTCTAATACCGTCGACGTAATAATGGTGCTGAGCTTCAACACGTCATCGTTAGTGCTAATGGATGCTACATCGATGGTATACCTGTCAACATCCCTAATCTTGTGCTCATTGCGCGGTCTTGTTAGTTTACCCGTTTTTTACTGTCGCTATTCAAGTTTGCTGACAAATTGTTCAGCAGACCTGTCAGTAGGACGATGATGTTACTCAGCAAGACTACAGCGTCCGCGCTGCACGTGACACATACCCACTTTTGGTCGGACTTGCTGAGTCCATTGTAAGTAGTTGCCGTCAGATCTGTGCACGCTTCGTGGAACCAACCTTTGCAGTTGTCGCATTTCATGTCATTTGTAACAACAAAACGGCATCCCGGACGTTTGCATGAGTTTTTCATGACTATGTTAAAGCAAACTATGTTATGGATGATTGCAAAAGTCTAAGACCGTGAAAATACACTAAAAAGCACACTGAAAACGTACAAAAATGGATAAAAACGGTTAACAACGAGTGGGATAAATGAATTAGTCTTTACGTGAAAAACAAAAAAAAACCGAATAGTAAGCTGAGGCAGAAACCCTTGTTAACTATTCAATATAGTGAAACTAAAAAAAGTAATCTACCGAAGGTATAGCTCAGGATAGATTCTTTAGAACTGAAACGGTACTTCTGTCGCGTAAGAACACAGAAAAAGTTTGATCAATACAAATCAAGTTAGGACTAAACTTTCCGTTTGAAAAGCACGCTTACGTTAAATCAACAAAATTACGCATCGCTTAATAAAAAAGCAAAAGTATTGTCATAAACACAGGTAACAAAATACGAACACAGAATTCGTCTTTTGTTTAGCTAAAGTGTTTCGACGTGCTTGGTAGCCATCACAAATAACTAACGCGATGCAAGTGAGTGATGTTCTCTCCGTTCTTCATGTTCATTATAACTAATTACGTTTTTAGTCCAATACTATGAGTTCGAATAAAGTCACTGATAGAGCTCGTAGACGTAGGGCCACGATTGGCTGTCATAGATCGACTTATAACAGACGGTGGAATAAAATACGAACAGCTTTCATGAAAAAATCATAACATGCTTTCGTTTAGTCAGTTTGCTAATGAAAGCACAGTCAAAGTTAGCTGACTTCAACAGTGGTGTATGTTAATTGATAGCAGTCGAGAGAGAAGTTAATTGTAGTGAGAATCCTTCAACTAGCAACTAGCTGCAGCTATCAAAGGCTTCTAGATAATAATGGTACATATATGAAGTGAGTACGTTAATATATTTCTTATATAATGTAATGTCGTTAATTTATTTCCATTAAAAGTCCGTAAATCGTAAAGAGCAGATCAACAATATATTGATGAAATCATTTACAAAAAGCTTTCTCAGCATCAGTGATGCTGGTTGAAATCTGAATAGTTTCCGAGACCTGGTCCCGGACTTACCAAGGAGCATCAGACGTGTCCTGAGGACATGCACAAGTGTCCAGTCACAGTTCATCAGCAGTGGGGTTTTTAATACCACCTCGGATTGAAAGCCAATCTGCTAAGATATGTTGGACTTTGATTGTGTACTTTGGATTTTGATACTTTAAATTTGTATATTAATGTAGATGGACTTTCTATGTCTAGGAGTTCTAATCAAAATTTATGGCCTATATTAGGACGGATCGTTGCCCCAAGGTTTAGTGACGTCTTCATGATATAGATCTACGGAGGGAATAGTAAACCAGCAAAATTCAACGAATTTTCTAATGACACAATTTCTGAAATAAAAGAAATGAGTGACTTGGGTCTGTTTAGTGCTAAGTTTAATTAGTACATGCAAATTTATTTAAACATATACCATTTTCCACGTTGATTGCAGTTTCAGTGTGGTGTTTTATGGGAATAAAAGCGAACATGGGAGACCTTTGGGGTTATGCCAATGGAGTTCTCAAAGTTGTAGCAAAAGTAGAGAATTCGACGACATGTGAGAGATAGAGCGACAAAAAAGGGGAAATCCGCATTGTTTCCGCCGGACAAGCGAGAAAGCAGACATTTTCGCGCGTTTCCCATTTATTTCCGCTTTGTTGATTGATTGGGTAATCACCAGCTGTAAATCATAATTCTAAATACTCATATTGCTTGATAGCTGACATTTTGTCCTTATTAATAGGTATGTCACTTAAGAGTCGCTCAAAGGTCGTCCACAAATTATATTCTCACAATACAGTCGCAGAAACTTACAAGACAATGGTTGACCTAAGATATTACCCCTCAATACACTAGTTTGGACCACTGGCTTTGAAGAGCTCCCTCAGTATCCAGTATCACTGGAGTGAGCTTGATCCAAAACAGTGATTGCAGAGCGCTCGCTTCATGCTGTTTTAGTGGGGTTCATGCGTCCGATGAAGTCCAGTGCTAGATTGTCTATCACTTTAACTGTATTAGACTCAGTCAGTTCTGTAGTTTAGGTGGATTCGTGTTAAATTTTTATTTAAGTGTTTTTTTTTCTCTGAAGTAAAGTTTCTGGAACCAGTAAACATCACATGAACAAAGAAGAGGTTGGTTAGATAAGGTTTGAGGAATAATAAAAGAGGAAACATTCGAATTCTGTACGTAAGGTAAAAGAGGTTGCTTCAAGAAATAATTAAATAATTCAATAATAATAAAAGTGTAAGAATCGTAGATAAGTTGTGAGACATGGATCAAGCGTAAATAATCAAAGTGGGAGATGATAACGCAGATCACTAACTTCTAAAGATTTTAAATCCTCTTCACTTTCATCTGATTTGACAGGATGATTGTCAATTTCACTGCTTGAATTACTGAATGATTCATTATTATCACAGTCAGGTTGATTATTTTGTATACTATCTGAATTATGAACAACTTGAGTATCCCGTACAGATTGTGGGATTTTAATTAAATTTGACAAGTGATCACGTTCAAGAATTTGGTGATACTGACTTGGTTTGGCGTCGTCTCCCTATGATAAATATAATGAAGTTTGATGAGATGGACACTGCATACATATTATCATTAATATAACTAATAACAAGAAGGTTAAAGAGTTCAAAATTTATACTGATTTACAAGAAAATTTTGTAATGAATTAGAGGACTGCACTGACAAAACAGTATAGGACTTCACATAAAAGTACTGAAGTTCAAGATGCTGGCAATGGGTAGGGGTAAAATGAGAAAAAAACAAGACATACAACGAATAAATAAACTATTCAGAATTTAAAAAAGTGAGTAACGAACACTTCCGTCCTGTAGTGGTGAATTTTGTGAGCCGCCACTGACCTTTCTTATTCTAAAGAACCTCAGTCGTAAAGTATACGTAATTGATTTATTAGGTTCTATGTGGCTTATGATTGACAAACTAACGTGCGCGGATACCATGAGGTGATTTGACCACACTTTTTTTCAATCTACTAATACCAGTGGTTGTCAAACATGTGTAATACATATCATAGCCAGTACATTTGGCACAATGGTACATCAGTGACTGAGTTGGCTCATGTAACTAGAGCTCTAAATTTTGCTTCGACACTGCATATTCAGTTCAACTCATGGCATTGATGTTTGGAACATAGTTATGATCGAATACCTATAACTCTGCCGTCACATGTCTTCAATAAGGTAAATATTATACAACATTAAGGAAGAACAGATTACATTCCCATGTAATAAACTTATGTTTCCTGACAATACCAACAATTAATGTGTCAGCAGTTGCGAGTAATTTTTGTCTGTTATGGAGTTTAAGTGAAATCGAACAATCTATAACAAAACTGGTTGAGTACTCAGAATAACAGGGGAAAATAAATATTGGTGCAATAAATTATAATTTATTGTTTCGAATAATGACTGTCAAACTAATTTACAAATAGTACGACGAGGATGAATCGACATGAAAACAGTAGTAAAAGTGTTGAAGAAAATTGATTTGAAATGAATATTGTTAAGATATTTGCGAAAATATAAACAACAGGAGCATCTGGGATGTCACGTATGAGTGACGCTTTGACGGTGTAATTAATGAAGTGCCTTAAAGGTTCGCATGATTTAGAATTTAATTGAATGTATTTGATGACCATAAATAAAAATAAAACCGTAGTTATGAATAAAACATTCACAAGAGGTGCTAAAAACATGCCAGTGCTGTAATAAAAATACCGAATGATATTTAAGGAAGATTCTCATGAAAATCCTATGTAATATGATTTTTTTTACCTGAAGTATTTTCATACGAAGATTTCTTTCCTCGTCATCTTGTTCGTTATATTTTTGTTTAATTTTTTTTAGTTTAGCTTTCTGACCACGTTTTAAAATCGGTTGACCAGCTGATGGTAGTAATGGCTCATTGAGTTTCTTGTTTACTTCAATGGTTTCTTTATTTAAATTTGTTGTTTTCTTGGTTGGTTTCGATTTGTCAACCTTTTGACCCCTTGTCTTAACTTTTTTAAAAGGATTTTCTGATAAAATCTCCGATACATCAGGATCTTTATGTCTGAAGCAAAATATAACAATCAAGGTTATTTTTAAATACGGTTTAAAGAAAATAAAATTCTAAGAAGTAGTGACATGTAAAGAGATTTCAGTTCATATATTAAAAAGTTTATGAGAATGAACTAACTTTCCAGTTACTGGCAACCTATCAGGAACTACATACATATTTGTGTACCAGGTTATAAGTGTTAATCATGGGGTAGTAGCAAATAATGTTGCAAATGAGCCAGACTACCCGCTTGCCGAGAAAATTGACGGATTAATTCATGAAGAAATATTAGTGTTTAAGAGTTTTGTATATCGAGAACTATTTTTTAATGATTAAGTAGACAACTAAGTGAATCATGGATAGATTGACTATCAAAGAATACTACATGACCACATGACCAAGTTGTGGCCGACATTAAATACATCACATACAAAGGGAAATCTAAAGAGACAAATTAAACGACGAAAATAATAAAAACGTGAATATGAACGGAAAATAATGAAATGTTTTTGAGGTATAAAGAGTTTTCACAGTTAGCTACTAGGTAAGTAAAACGCTCAAATTCCACCACTACAAGACATCCAACCAGAAATTTCACATTGATCGAAAGAATACCACCATTGATCAGTCTTCTACGTCAACCCAACCTACCATATTCCTTGGTGCAACACTAATCAACTGTACAAGTCAATCCTTAAAGCGCTGGTACCCACTTAGTCAAATGAAAAACACATGTCAAACACTTAGTTTTCTCTCCAAGTCATTTCGGAGAGTTATCCATAAGCGTTTTTACCCATTAAGAGTAGATTATGCATATACAGTAATTTGATATGAGAACTTATAATATATGTCTCAAGAAAAAATTGAAGGTGGGAACAAAAGTTGAGAAATTTAAGATCAAACGCAACAATCAATATAAAGTATAATAACCTTAAATACCAAAAAAGATAAACACTGAAGATATTGTTAGTAACGAAATAAGCTTAGCTTGTAAGAATATAAGATTTGAACATCGTAACGGATTAGCAAAAACAGCCACACTAATTTTGAATACCTTGGGAGATGATTGGCTTATCAAGGTATCATAGCTGCTTTGAAAACCGTGTGACACATAGGGTGTTACCGATGAAATATATTAAGAAGCATGAATACAGAGGATTTAGCGAGACCAACACCTCATGGGCCAGTCCATGGCACACGTCTAACTGGTGCTCGATTGTTGTCCTTGGCTTTGACAGGAATTGATGATCTGTCCAATATTCAGTGACCCAACTGACGGATGATTTGGCTGGGGCTCGGTGACATTTCACTCGCGCTACAGTAATCCGTGGGTTAGGCCTCCTCTTGGACTTGTCAACTGGGGAGTCCAGTGGTCTTTTCGTCTGGTAGAGCTTACTTACCTTCTTACGCCTGTTACTCTTCGTGTAAGGGCGTAGGCCACACAACAGCATTCTCTATCCATCTCTATCTTGGGCAATCCTTTCCAGTTGTTTACAATTGCTAATCATTATTTTCATGTCTGCTTACAATTCACAACGCAGTGTGTTCCTTGGTCTTCCTGTTTTCATTTCGTCAAAATTTCAAGGTAGCGCTTGCGTTGTGATGCAGTTTGTTTATTTCCGTAATGAGCATTCTCTCTGCCTCCAGCGTCTTTTCTTTAATTCCTCTTCAGCTGAAAGTTGGTTTGTTCTCTCCTACAGTAGGCTTTTGTTGATGGTATCCGGTCAACAGAGACTGAGTACCTTGCGTAGACGACTGTTTATAAATACTTGTAAACTTCGATGATGTTTGTACTAGTTCTTCAAGTTCCACTCCACATTGTAAAACTCCTGAGTTGAAATTATGACTTTGATATTGGTTGACAGTTATTTTGAGTTTCACATGTTCCTAAATTGTAGGAGCTCGGCCCTTGCATTGCCAATCCTCATCTTTACTTCTGCATCTGATCTACCAGGTTCATCGATGATGCTACCCAGATACGTGAAAGCTACGAACTCTTTAAGCCCTTCATCATCAAGTGTGATTGGGTTGATGTTCTTCAAGTTGTATTTCAGGATATTGGACTTGCCCTTGTGTATGTCGAGGTCTACTGGTGCAGGGGCTTCTGCTTACTGTCTGCTTTGACCTACACTTGTGTGCGTATGGGATAGAAGGGTAAGGTCATCTGCAAAGTCCAAATCGTCTAGTTTTATCCAAGTTGTCAATTGTATTCCCTGTATAAGATTGCACGCTGATTACGAATTCCAAACATAGTACGTTCACGTGTGCTCATTCATTTGTACTTGCCTTAAAATGAGCTGCTTCGAGGATTTTTATTAAAATAATATGAATGATTCCCATCATCATAGTGGCCTCATACGAAGTTACTCACGAACATAGTTAGTTTCACCATAGTATATGTGGGGAAACTGTTTGAATTCCTCAGTGCTGGGTTTCATTTAGCCGTTGGGTTGAGTGGAATAATGTAGTTTCCAAAAGTACATAGCATCAAATTGGCGCCAAGCAATTCAGTGAATCACTGGCAGGCCGAGACCAGTCTAGTAGCCAGCACCTGTTGAAAGGACAATAAACTTCAACCGAATAAGAAAATAATTCGTAAAGTAAGTGAATGAAAAAAATCGAAGGCAGGACCCGATCAGGCTTCCATAAATTCTGGTCTGCTCAATCAGCTATTTGTCGCGAATAGATTATCATTGACCTCCGGATGCCATATAAACCAGCATTTGATTTTCATCATTTAGTATTCGGATCATAGTGGTAATCTCATGATACTTCGGACGAAGTTTGATATCATATTATTAATCCCTCGGTCTACAACACGGATATAGTGAGCTTTTAATACTTTTAGACCTCGGTAATGGAATGTAGGATATTAGTTATAATATTCGCTGATGTAACACATCCTCTGATGGTCTTTACATGTGTTGCATCGCGTCTGAACAGTCACAGATGGCGCAATATATTCTCAGACTGAATGGTCAGACTGCGTGCATGGCGTTTGCTAGCAGATGTAAAAATGTAGAATCTTATGAGTTCGTATAAAATCCAGTTCAGACGATTACTTGTTTAAAAAAGATGTGGGTTTAGACACATAAGGCACGATGTGTCACGATCATATGGAATTCCGTATTGTATGTATTGTCGGACTCATTCGAGAGCATACATGTCAAACTTATGACATGAGGATCGGATCCCCAAAAACCAGATTCGGTCACTTATAATCTAGGGATGGATTTTTTCGGGTTCAAAACTACGGATCGGACAGATTCGGCCATGACAAATGACATGTATTAACGGAGTAAACCTATGAATCTGTGTCTATAACAAGCAACTTATCATGTTCCGAATTTGTGACAATAATAAAAAAGCGCATATGTCGACAGTCTTTATTAGAATTGATACTTCACTCTACCACGACATCGTGCTTGGTGACTAATCATTACCGAGTGTTTCTGGAGTAGCGCCATGTTTATGCTGCGATCAAGTTCCGGATACAGCTTTGATGTACTATCCTAGCTCGTCTACTTCTATCACTTGTCCATGTGCCATTTCTCCAACTTCGAAGATAAAATTAGGAAATTCTCAGGGTAAATGATATATTTTTACAGCTCTCCCGAGTGATTTTCCAACAGTTTTTTGTCCAAGTTTTACTTCATACAATGTAGTTTGTTTAGTCCAGTATTTGGTAAGTCTGCATATGGTTTGAATTACGTTGTGAGCTGAGAGAGTGTACAGCACAACCCGTAAGAAGTAAAAAGGAGGAACAAAATAAAGCGTGAGCTATTGGCTTATTAGGCATATAAGATTCACATGTATTCATTGATAAAGGAATACAGGCGAAAAATTAGGATATTTGATAAAAAGTATTAAATGAAAAAGGTTTTCTTAAATAACCTTACGACCCTAAATTTTCCCTATCTAAAGGCTGTGAACTAGAGAAAGTCTGGGACAGGCTTATGAGTGGTCTCTTCAGCTATTGTGAGGGTTGACCTAAGCTGAATAGAATACACTTCAGTGTCATTTGGCCTCAGTCAAAGACATGTGATGGAGGCACCAAGGCCACGTTCCCGCTAATGCCACACACTGCACAGGCAGAAAGCCCACGGAAGTCATGTGTCATAGCACTGATTATATAAACTTGAAAAATAGTCTGTTGCCTCAGGGGAACACCAGATGATATGAAAAGTCATCGGTTGTCTTTATAGCAACATATGAAGACTAAGCGCTATAACAGGAAGGATCGAAAACAAGAACATTCGAATGGATCAAATTACAGATCAGAATAAGACACGGGTTTCTCTCAACATCAAGGACAACGAAGTGGGCAAGCAATGCATGACACCTTTCAGACATGAAAAGATACACAAAACAGGAGTCACGATATGTATAAACATCCAATTCAAAGAAGCACTACCAAGGGAGACCGAACAAACCAAGGCGATGAAATCAAGCCAATCTTGTTCCAGTGTGAACGCCGACACCTGGTTGGAGGAGAATATGTGGGCTTTACACAGGTGCTTAAGGCCAGAAACACAATCCAATCAAAGCGCTATCGTAACTACTACACCCAGAAGTCAGACAGATCATCGCAGCCAAAGACGTAAACAGTTACGTCAATATCAACGAAATGAATATAAACTTTAAAAAGTGACTCCGTAGTCGTATTGTGAAAGTCATTAGGGGCTCAGAAATGAGTAAGCATATGAGTGACGTCACGGTATGAGATGACGGCGGGAAACCCTCAGACGTAGACCGCCTACTGTTAAACGATCTGCCCCCAGTTGAAGGTCTCCCTGTGAAAGCGCCAATCAGCAGTAGTGACCGCGGTACAGTCATATTTCATTCCATCACAAACGAGGTGCTTTAGAGGTACAGATATACTTCTTACGTTTTTCGTTTCAGAAGAGACTACATATACATGAGTAAGTGCCTTCAAAATGCCGTAATTGCTGAAGGCCAACCATGGATGGACAGCGGGAGACCGCAACACATATTATTCAAAAGGATGGCCTGTGCAGTACCCTGTAGACTGAAAATATACCTGTCAAATCAGTAGCAATTTTGAAGTGAGATACAGGACAGTTGATACAAACAAAAGAGAGCCTGAGATAAATGGGAAGCCGTCCTAAAAGAACCTGGCTGTAGCTAGATTCAGTGCCAAAGCGAAGGGTGATATAATATATTTACGTGTCAAGCTAGTGATTAAGACACGTGTTAGTCTGAAATACGAACATAGGTTCATGGAAGAACGCACATATACACGCAAAAAGGTTCGCGAAACGAAGGAGTATAACGGTGTGGATCCCATTATTCTGGAGATAGCAGAAACCGTAAATGCCAAGGTCAAAATTTAGGGTATCGGAACGTCACGATATGGACATTTAGCCTCATGAGACTCAAACAACTTACGTCCCACATCGAAATTCCTTCTACGTTGTCTCCATAGAGCGCGATCCATGACAATTAACCACAGAAAACTTAAATGCCCTCTCAAACTACATTTAAAATGTGAACAAAACAAACCCACATCTCTACGCAGAATCAGATTTATGCTGTCACCCAAAAATTGTTTCAAACATCCCTTAGAACATGTACATGGCCTCGCCTCGAAGCTTTCAATGTTGTTTTGTTCTCTACTCAAAACAGATATGAATATCTTAGAACCGACCCAGAAACGACAAACGAAGTAGGTGATGGGGTTCGAAAAAAATTCTACAGAAATGAGCTCCAATATTTGGGATTATTCTCGTGGGACTATCAGATAGTAAGAGGTGACCTGATAATGGCTCACGATACTAATTACGCCAAGTCACCCTTATGTGGGGAGCCTATCAGAACCCCGCCCCCGCGCCCCTCAATACAGAGTCCGGAAAACCATACGCCGAGACGCAAGGGCTCAGACACGAACTCTCTTTTTTATCACAACTTGTTTTCCCTTTCACTGCTCTCCCAGACGAAGTGACCACCGGGCTTTCCGGTTGGAGGCTCTTAGACGAGGCCTAACCGACGGATTATGATCTCGCACTTAGACTATTTGTGCCTGATCTATATTTCACAACTTATCTACCATTATTAGTACCACATAACTCCAGCCTATTCCAATCTCGAATATTGTCACGTGATGATGCCACAGGTATTCAGTGTTTGACAACGCTTCTACCAGTAACACCTAATATATTTCGTTCCCACCCAGAGAAATCAAAAGACAGAGTCGAGGAAATCGGAAGAGTGTATTTGGCGATAACCAATATATCGGAATTTCACTGATCTAATCTGGCTAGCGATTGCGGTTGATGTTGAGCACGGCGTTACCACACGTGATCTGGTGCGGATGCCTGACCGAGCGCCTTCAGCTAGATGAGTCCACTAAAACATATGTTCAGCATCCAATGTCGAAAACTTACAGGGCTATTTATTTTGGGGATTTATTTACCGCTACACACGTTTATTTACCTATTTTTCATACACTTCGACCTTCTCTTATTGTTTAGATTACAATGAAATAACTTATTTAATTATTTACTTCCAGAAATGATCGTCTCCTCTTAGTGTTCGACTGCAAATCGTTTAATAATAACCCAACCGACTATGATTTATGTAATCGACCGCCTCTTTTATCACCTATAAGCCACTTCCGAAAACCTTGGGTCTCACGGAAATATTAGGAAGCGGAAAAGCGAAAACCTCTACTTGTTTATACTGGCTTGTGACAAGGATATTAGACTTCTTCGTGCATCGTTTTAGAATAGCATCAGAACAATGTTGTTACTATGTCAACATTATAGTCATAAATTTAAATGTTGAGGTCAAGCGATAGCCTGACACTGGAAAATTCATTGAACGCTTTTGAAAGCGAAGAGATACTTCAAGCTTTAGCAGTTGCTGGACTACTGAGTCAAGAGAAGCTTTATCTGGAGCTTACAAACGAAGCCGTAAATTTCGCGAGAAAAGAAAAGTTTAGTTTTTCGCAATTATGCGCACTCGTTTCGATAATTAACAGGGTGTTGAAAGAACTTTCAAGTAAGGAGATCGGTGATAATAAGTAAAACCTCAGATTCTCCATACGACGACATACAGAATGTCCTAGATGTATCGGACAAAATTATGATGAGTTACTCTATCCAGGTAATGTGACGTAACTCTAAGTTTTACTGTGGAGGATTATCTCAACAGAGGCCACCCCACTGCATTGAGTTATTTTCGATCGCTGATTCTTTAAAATGCGTTGAATTTCTCGTGGACTCGTTGTTTAGACATTGGAGACTTTACAAGTTCGCTTTAGCTCCAACAGCACGCCTTTTACCTCAGCTCATTTACGATACAAAAGGTGAGTCAGGGATTAATAACCGACAGTTGAAGTCTTAATATGCTATTTACAAATACTTCCTATAATCAAGGTTTGGTCGTTTACCCGAAGATCTGTTAGTTGTGTCCTATGTATAAAAATCCTCGAATACAGACTAAAGTTTTATTGATGAAATATCAAATCCATACGAATGTTTTTGAAATCTATAATTGTCTATTCAACTTTTGTTTGCGAGGTTCTCACTGAACATTAAACGACAAAATTTTAACTAGCCATCAACTTATATTTCATTCATCACTTAATTTGTATCACTGAGCGTCATTTGGTGTAAGATAGTAAAACTTTTGTTAACAGAAATGGAAGAGCCCAATCCCAGTAAACATCCTGACATTCATCACTGAAACAAAACACTATTAGGAAAATAGACTCTTTACTAAGGTTATAAACTTTATTAGTTTATATCGTTACTGTGCATAAGCTTTATACAGCTTACAAATCGAACCTTAGCCACGGAATTTGAAACGACTCTAAGCTTCCAAACTATTTGAAAATGAATTTCGCGATTATAGACTTATCCTATGTGACATCAGGTTTATGGATTTATTTTGGTCAGAAATTGTAAGAATGTTTTCAGATTGAAGATGTGGTGACCAATGCGTTTTAATAGGCTGACACTAAGACAATAAACTCGTGATCTAAAATAGCCCTTTTAGTATACAACATATTAAAATGTCTTGTTATTCAAACTTTCATTTAAATTCTCTTCAATTGTTAAAAACTTTTTGACAGATTATGAATCGGAAATTGTCGACTTGAAACCATCAGGTAAAATGAAAACGTGGTGAACCGAGTTAACGCCATTTTACTTTCTAGGAACTGATTTATTATACTCAATTTTAAAATATGCACTCGAAGATCAAATTGAAGTCAACAAACATGAAAATCAAATCGGTAATTGATTTGTGATAAATTGTTCTAAGAGGTATCCTCTTAATTCTTACATGTGATACGTTACGTAATCACCAAAGCGAACGCTTGTAGAAAGAACTTACGAAAACACTTACTGTTAATAAATGACTACATACACATCAGGCCTAATTCTTCGGAATCGGTTGATTATACTGGTAGAAGTGCCAAACTTACGTAGAAAGTATGTATAAAACTAAACTGTTGTATTTCATGAAACAATTTCTATAACTACTATGATTAAGGAGCTAAAACAACGTGTATGCACTACTTTAAACGAAAATGATTTGCTTTGCTCCTAAAAGCCGGTCAAAATCATCTGGTGAAATAGTTTAGTATACTTTATGACATCAGTTACTACTACTTGATTAACACACTAAATACAGTTTAACAAAGCAACGACGACTATAATAGCTTAGCAATAATAATCCTAACAATAGTGTCTAGATGGATGTTTAAATATTCATTGGGAAATGAGTTTGCTGATGCCTTGGTAAAAACAAGAAATCAAGTTTAAAACTTGTTTATAGCCTATGAACATGAATTACGTCCATGTGAAATTGTAAGTATACTAGTTTGCGAGGTTCAAGGACTTAAAAAGACGTCGTTATGTATGATTCTAATCTCTATATTCGTGATTGTTTGTCAGTTAGTTTGTGAAAAAATTACAGTTACAACCAACGTCAAATAGATTAACAATTTTTTATTCTTGATTAGAAAAGACGTAACTACAAGTGGAAATGTTCATACATTTACAGAAAATAGGAAAGCTTTCTGGTAAGACTTTTGAATAACACTTGGAAGTCAAGGAGGAAAGTAATGGTAGTCACAAGCAAGATCCTGTTCAATATGGCTAAGAATATCAGGGAGCAATTAGGGTTTAAGCAAAAAATCACAATTGGACTTTAAAAAACATAAAGTGAAAAGAAAATAGGTTTTATTTTTTTCGTGAGGGCTTAACTTGAGGTAACGTTAACTTTACACATCCTGGGAAATTACGCGATACTTCTTCATCTTTCATTGCACGTATTAATTCTCGTTCTCTGTTGTTTGTGGATTTGTCCGATGTAAATTGAAACAACGCCATTTTCGATGCTAATTTTAGGCAAATAGAAGAAATAAAAAATTCTATACTAGTCATAAACATGAAACCATAATAAATGTCAGTCAGCTACTCAACTAATTGAAATTTATCAAATCATTTTGCTTTGTAGTAGCTTAATTTCATGTACCATTAGACATTTAACTGAACCCCTGGCGAATGTACATTTTCGTTTTGCTTGTCCGTGAACAGAGCGACTAGACACGTTGATCCTGCTGACTACGCCGTGCGTGATGTAATTGCTGTCTCGAGTTTTGCTAATTATATGAAATACATTGTTCTATAAACCTTTGTACTTGGCTTCTGACTTTACAATTCCTGACAGAAGTTGAATCAGTAGTGTCTAGAACATCTGATGTTACGGAGTACCTCCAAACAGTAGCAATTTGGAGCGCGATTAGTTAAAAGATTCCTCAACCACTTTGATAAATTATAAGTCATCATACAAGCATACTGTTAATAAGCTACCAATAGAGGCTATTCTAATTTTTTCTTTACACGAAAACGATGCTCAGTAAACGAGCTTTTGCAGATGCCATTGTGAAATTGCTGACATTACATGAAGTATTACGTTGTATCAACTGAGAAGCACACTAGATAAAATAATAGTTAACACACAGTAGGGTTTACATACTAAGTAATAAGTAGAAAATAATTTGCACGGTTTAAACAGTATATACTTTAATCATTGCATCAAATTAACATCAAAGTCCAAGAATATCATGGACTCCATGATGGATATATCAAGCTGTACAGAACAGAAATTACCTATGACTTTTGTAAACCAGTCACAGTAATGGAAAACGAAATAAAATTACGCTAGAGAATATGTGGAGTATAATTTCGAAAATATTTTAGCGCAGTAAGAGAAGACAGGCCGAAATTATTGGTCGAGGAGAATATGAAAATTTATTTCTTTAATCATTTTCAAGCTGGAAAATGATTATTCTAGTTGAGGATTGATAACCATTCTAAATAACAGATAATGATGGCAAAATAAATTGTAAAACAGTAAACGGGTATACAGATGTTGTTTATCATACCTTTTCCTCGCTTTGTAGTTCCTGGGTTCAGTTTACTCTGAACTTATACTTTAATAGAACTGAATAAGGAGCACAGACTGGAATAGCATACAATAGTAAATCATCATCATTGGGCTGACCAGTCAATGAATTTAACAATGAAGTTAAATCATCTTTCGATTCAACTGGCATATCTTCGTCATCATCATTATCATTAGTTTTTACATCACTAACTTCTAAAGATTTTAAATCCTCTTCACTTTCATCTGATTTGACAGGATGATTGTCAATTTCACTGCTTGAATTACTGAATGATTCATTATTATCACAGTCAGGTTGATTATTTTGTATACTATCTGAATTATGAACAACTTGAGTATCCCGTACAGATTGTGGGATTTTAATTAAATTTGACAAGTGATCACGTTCAAGAATTTGGTGATACTGACTTGGTTTGGCGTCGTCTCCCTATGATAAATATAATGAAGTTTGATGAGATGGACACTGCATACATATTATCATTAATATAACTAATAACAAGAAGGTTAAAGAGTTCAAAATTTATACTGATTTACAAGAAAATTTTGTAATGAATTAGAGGACTGCACTGACAAAACAGTATAGGACTTCACATAAAAGTACTGAAGTTCAAGATGCTGGCAATGGGTAGGGGTAAAATGAGAGAAAAACAAGACATACAACGAATAAATAAACTATTCAGAATTTAAAAAAGTGAGTAACGAACACTTCCGTCCTGTAGTGGTGAATTTTGTGAGCCGCCACTGACCTTTCTTATTCTAAAGAACCTCAGTCGTAAAGTATACGTAATTGATTTATTAGGTTCTATGTGGCTTATGATTGACAAACTAACGTGCGCGGATACCATGAGGTGATTTGACCACACTTTTTTTCAATCTACTAATACCAGTGGTTGTCAAACATGTGTAATACATATCATAGCCAGTACATTTGGCACAATGGTACATCAGTGACTGAGTTGGCTCATGTAACTAGAGCTCTAAATTTTGCTTCGACACTGCATATTCAGTTCAACTCATGGCATTGATGTTTGGAACATAGTTATGATCGAATACCTATAACTCTGCCGTCACATGTCTTCAATAAGGTAAATATTATACAACATTAAGGAAGAACAGATTACATTCCCATGTAATAAACTTATGTTTCCTGACAATACCAACAATTAATGTGTCAGCAGTTGCGAGTAATTTTTGTCTGTTATGGAGTTTAAGTGAAATCGAACAATCTATAACAAAACTGGTTGAGTACTCAGAATAACAGGGGAAAATAAATATTGGTGCAATAAATTATAATTTATTGTTTCGAATAATGACTGTCAAACTAATTTACAAATAGTACGACGAGGATGAATCGACATGAAAACAGTAGTAAAAGTGTTGAAGAAAATTGATTTGAAATGAATATTGTTAAGATATTTGCGAAAATATAAACAACAGGAGCATCTGGGATGTCACGTATGAGTGACGCTTTGACGGTGTAATTAATGAAGTGCCTTAAAGGTTCGCATGATTTAGAATTTAATTGAATGTATTTGATGACCATAAATAAAAATAAAACCGTAGTTATGAATAAAACATTCACAAGAGGTGCTAAAAACATGCCAGTGCTGTAATAAAAATACCGAATGATATTTAAGGAAGATTCTCATGAAAATCCTATGTAATATGATTTTTTTTACCTGAAGTATTTTCATACGAAGATTTCTTTCCTCGTCATCTTGTTCGTTATATTTTTGTTTAATTTTTTTTAGTTTAGCTTTCTGACCACGTTTTAAAATCGGTTGACCAGCTGATGGTAGTAATGGCTCATTGAGTTTCTTGTTTACTTCAATGGTTTCTTTATTTAAATTTGTTGTTTTCTTGGTTGGTTTCGATTTGTCAACCTTTTGACCCCTTGTCTTAACTTTTTTAAAAGGATTTTCTGATAAAATCTCCGATACATCAGGATCTTTATGTCTGAAGCAAAATATAACAATCAAGGTTATTTTTAAATACGGTTTAAAGAAAATAAAATTCTAAGAAGTAGTGACATGTAAAGAGATTTCAGTTCATATATTAAAAAGTTTATGAGAATGAACTAACTTTCCAGTTACTGGCAACCTATCAGGAACTACATACATATTTGTGTACCAGGTTATAAGTGTTAATCATGGGGTAGTAGCAAATAATGTTGCAAATGAGCCAGACTACCCGCTTGCCGAGAAAATTGACGGATTAATTCATGAAGAAATATTAGTGTTTAAGAGTTTTGTATATCGAGAACTATTTTTTAATGATTAAGTAGACAACTAAGTGAATCATGGATAGATTGACTATCAAAGAATACTACATGACCACATGACCAAGTTGTGGCCGACATTAAATACATCACATACAAAGGGAAATCTAAAGAGACAAATTAAACGACGAAAATAATAAAAACGTGAATATGAACGGAAAATAATGAAATGTTTTTGAGGTATAAAGAGTTTTCACAGTTAGCTACTAGGTAAGTAAAACGCTCAATTCCACCACTACAAGACATCCAACCAGAAATTTCACATTGATCGAAAGAATACCACCATTGATCAGTCTTCTACGTCAACCCAACCTACCATATTCCTTGGTGCAACACTAATCAACTGTACAAGTCAATCCTTAAAGCGCTGGTACCCACTTAGTCAAATGAAAAACACATGTCAAACACTTAGTTTTCTCTCCAAGTCATTTCGGAGAGTTATCCATAAGCGTTTTTACCCATTAAGAGTAGATTATGCATATACAGTAATTTGATATGAGAACTTATAATATATGTCTCAAGAAAAAATTGAAGGTGGGAACAAAAGTTGAGAAATTTAAGATCAAACGCAACAATCAATATAAAGTATAATAACCTTAAATACCAAAAAAGATAAACACTGAAGATATTGTTAGTAACGAAATAAGCTTAGCTTGTAAGAATATAAGATTTGAACATCGTAACGGATTAGCAAAAACAGCCACACTAATTTTGAATACCTTGGGAGATCATTTGCTAAATCAAGTTGAAGAAAAGCATCAGGAAATGCTGTAGTTTCTTCATTATTCTGGATAGTTAATGATTCGAACTGATTAAGGGGCATTTCGTAAGATGGGGTGTCTATGATGATGATGCGACGCTCTCCTTTATGTTTAGCTATAGAATCCTCATGTAACTGAAATCGTAAAACGTATGGAGAAAAGAATTACAATGAGTTGCAACAAAGCATAATTTATCTGGCCCATTTAAACTACTTTACGGTTATAAATGATAAAACCACAGTGACT